CAGTTACCTTGCATTTATTTTGTGTAGTTTTTGTATCTACTTGTATCAAGTCAGGTCAAATCAATAAGCATTTATTAAACTCTTACTATGTACTGGCTGTGTGACCCTGGGCGAGTCACTTATTAACCCCGTTTGCCTCATTTTCCTCATGTGTAAAACGCACTGGAGAAGGAACGGCAGACCACGTCAGTGTCTTTGTGAGGACCCCTTAAACGAGGTCATAGAGAATCAGGCCCAGCAGAAGCCACTGAACAACAGTGGCAGCAGTGTGCTAGCTAGGTGCTATGCTAAGCACCGGGAATAGAAGTACAAGCGGGTAGAAAAGCGGCTCCTGCCCTCAAGAAGCTTACATTCTGAAGGGGCTGGATGCCTCATAAGAAGAAGCTGGAAGGTGGGGGATGTGGGGGGGCATTGTAGACAAAGTGTGGGAGGAGAGGCAGGAGTACAGCCTATAGAGGAAGTAGAATTCTTACATATGTAAGCGTTGTCTCCCAGATAGACTATCCCTTGAGAACAGAGATTGTCTCGTCTCTGCCCTGGTATCCGGTCCCTAGCATGGAGCCTGGCATGTGGTTGGCATTTAATAAATGCCTATTATTTGATAGATTGCTAAGAGGCAGCAGGGCATAGTGGAAAGAATTCTGGATTTGAAATCAGGAAACCTGGGTTTGAATTCTTTTTATTTTATTTTATTTTTTTATTAGTTTATTTTGATTAATCAACAATCTCTTCCGTAAGTTTTTGAGTTTAAAATTTTTCTCCCCCTTTCTCCCCCCTTCCCTCACCAAGACAGCGCACAGTCTGATATAGGATGTGTGTATATATACACACACACACATACACACACACATTCCTATTAAACATATTTTCACATGAGTCATATTGTAAAGAAGAATTAGAACCAATAGGAGGAACCACAGGAAAGAAGAAACAAAACAAAACAAGAAAAAAAAAGAGCAGGTAGTATGCTTTGATCTGCATTCAGACTCCATAGTTCTTTCTCTGGATGTGGATAGCATTTTCCATAATGAGACCTTTGGAGATGTCTTAGATCCTTGCATTACTGAGAAGGGCTAAGTCTATCAAAGTTAGTCATCGCACAACATGGCTGTTACAGTGTACAACGTTCTCCTAGTTCTGCTCACTCAGCATCAGACCATGCAAGTCTTTCCAGGTTTTTCCGAAGTCAGCTTGTTCATCATTTCTTATAGCACAGTAGTATTCCATTACATTCGTATACTGGGTTTGAATTCTGCTTTAGATACTTGATGTGTGGTCATGGGCAAGGCTTTTAATTCTCCACATAGAGGTTTCCTCTTCTGTTAAATGGGGATAATTAGGCTCCCAAGACCCACCTCCCTGTCTTGTTTGTGAGGAATTCATTTTGCACACTTTAAGGTGCTAAGTAAATATTATCTATTAGCATTAGTATTCTGGTCATAACCTTGACGTCCAAGGAGGGAGAATTGAATGCTTGTTCAAACCATTGTAACTTTTATACTCCTGTACATAGGTGTTTCCTGTTCACTTTCATCTGCATGTTACCTCTACTGGGGAGGCGATTAAGCTTCAGGAAGTGATAATGAACCTTAGTGCTTGGAAAGGTGCCCTGATTCCTCTGGGGCTCTGGTTTCCCCTGGGTATTTTCACTTTGTTCTATCCCTTTGTCATTTACATGAGATCTTAAGTAGAGGTGGGAAGGGAAATTTTAGGAAGATAAACTTTTTAAAACATTTTGAAGATTTTTTCACCTTTTTTTAAAAAAAGTAATACAACAGTTTATATCAGACATTTGCAAAATAAGTGCTTGAGATCTTGGATCTATTTCGATGCAGGTACTATCTCAAAGTAAAATAGTTAAAGATTAGCGCCTCTGTCACTCTGCCTTCCAATTTTGTTTTGCAGGTGTTTCTCTTATCCTTTGTGACATCTGAGAACACCTTAAGGAGAAGGGCGTGGGAAGAACTGGGGGGGGGGAGGGGAAGTGGAAGAGAAGCAAGCATAGGCTTATTGTTGCTTATATTTTGACAGCAGGATTTCTAAGAACAGCCAAATGAGAAAAAAAGCAAAAACAAAAAAAAACCCTTTCACTTAGGCTGAGGTTTTGCATCAGTCCAAGAAATAATGTTCTCACAAAGGAGGTCTAGCCAACAGTGATAATTCCTAATGGGGTACTGAAACTTGGGAGTAAAAACCATGTAGGCTAGGGTAGGAGATGGTCATTTAGATTCAGAAAACTATTTGTATTTCAGAAATGTATATTCAGTTCCTGGACTGAAAGTGAGAGCATCAGTAGAATCATTTGGGCAGTTAAGAATCAGTATCACCTAGAAATATGATCACTGGGGACCAAAACATCTCTTTTTGAGCCTTCCATCTTAGATTAGGTGTGGTCTGGGGACACCAAAGGGTCTGTGAGATCCTATTAGGAGTTTTGTTTTTTGCTGAGGCAATCCAGGTTAAGTGATTTGCCCAGGGTCAGCAGTTAGTAAGTGTCAAGTGTCTGAGGCTGTATTTGAACTCAGGGCCTCCTGACTCCAAGCCAGAGCTCTATCCACTGTGCCACCTAGCTGCCCCTCTTATTAGGAGTTTTGTGAGGTCAACACTATTTTCACAATAATATTAAGATTTTTTAAAACTTCTAATATGGCGAATATCTATGGATATAATCCAAATAAGGAACAGTAGTTTGAGGGATCTTCAGTAATTTTTAACAGTGTAAAAGGGTCCTTGAGACCGAAAAGTGTGAAAATCTGTGTCCTAGACCGACAAGAAGTGTAGATTCTCATTTTGGCTATGCGATGTCGTAGATGTGTGACATTAGAATCTTTGAGATAGAAGAACCTTAGAAACAATCTGGTCTGACCCTGGTGCCTGCCGCCTGGTTAGATGAGGACACTTTCTGCAGTGTGGGGGTAGTGGTGAAGGGAGGAGGATGCCACATGTAGACAAACAGCTAAAATGGGAAGTCCGTAAATACAGCCCTGGGACTCCAAAGGAATTCTCCCAATTGTGTGTTGATCCTCACCTAGCTTACTCATTATTGGTGCATTCTTACATGCCTTGAGTCTGCTTGCCTTAGCTTGGTGCATTTTTTTTTTTGTAAACAGTATTTTATTTTTTCCAATTACATGTAAAGATAGTTTTTAACATTCATTTTCATAAGATTTTGAGTTCCAAATTTTTCTCCCTCCCTCCCTTCTCTTCTTCCCCCCTCCCAAGACAGCAAGTGATCTGATGTAGTTTATACATGTACAGTCACGAAAACATATTTCCACATTAGTCATATTGTGAAAGAAGAAACAGAACAAAAGAGAAAAGCCACACAAAAAACACAAAAAAAGTAAAAATAATATGCTTCAGTCTGCATTCAGACTCCATAGCTCTTTCTCTGGATGTGGATAGCATTTTCCATCATGAGTCTTTTGGAATTGTTTTGGATCATTGTATTTCTGATAAGAGCTAAGTCAATCATAGTTGATCATTGCACAGTGTTACTGTTACTGTGTATAATGTTCTCCTAGTTCTGCTCACTTCACTCAGCATCAGTTCATGTAAGTCTTTCCAAGTTTTTCTGAAATCCACCTGCTCATCCTTATAGCACAATAGTATTTCCTTACATTCATATACTACAACTTGTTCAGCCATTTACCAGTTGATGGACATTCTCTCAATTTACAGCTCTTTGACACCATAAAAAGAGCTGCTCTAAATATTTTTGTACATGTAGGTCCTTTCCCCCCTTTTATGATCTCTTTGGGATACAGATGTTGCTAGATAAAGGGTGTGTGCAGTTTTATAGCCCTTTGGGCATAGTTCCAGATTGCTCTCCAGAATGGATGGATCAGTTCAAAACTCCACCAGCAATGCATTAGTGTCCCAGTTTTCCTACATCTTCTCCAGCATTGATCATTTTCCCTTTCATTCATATTAGCCAATCAGATAGGTATGAGTTGGTATAGCTTGGTGCATTTTTAAAGGCCTCTACCCCCATTGTCCTCCTGAGTTCAAAACAGTGCTGGCTTATGGACAGATCAGCATTCTTGGGATCCTTGTGTTGGGTTGCTTCATTTCTTATGACCAGAACAAAGACTGAGACCAGTGGATGGTCATTAAACACCTTTTTTAAAAGTGCCTTTTTTTTTTGGGGGGTGATGAAGCAATTAGAGTTAAGTGACTTGGCCAGAGTCACATAGCTAGTGTTATGTGTCTGAGGCCGGATTTGAACTCAAGTCCTTCTGACTCCAGGGCTGGTGCTCTATCCACTGCACCAGCTAGCTGCCCCTAAAAATGCTTTTTGTGTGTTTTATACCACCCATGGCTCATATAGTACTGATAATCTCTGCAATTAGCAATAGAGTGTGGACCTGGGTTTCTGTTTCTTCAGAACCTGATCCAGGATGGGGAAGTATCCCCAGTGAGTTATTCACTATCCTTCAAGCATCTCCAGTGATGGAGAACTCTCTACTTTGGGTAAATGGCCTTAGACACCTTAGCAAGGTGTCAGCCTGAAATCCTGCCTAGGCTTACTGCTTTCATAACTACACCGAGTTAGGGGATCTGGGCAAGTGTGAAGGAATTGCCAACATTTTGTTTAGGTAGATTGCATGCCACATGTGTGTTCAGCAAGCAGAGTGGTAACCAGAGGTTGGGATGATCTCAACAAAAGACACAAGTAAGCAGAGTAACTGATATCAGCAGAGACTTATAGGCAAGAGTTGTCTCAGCGTGCATATTCACATGTACGTGATAAAGATTTAACCTTAAAATGGTCTTTTTAGGGAAGCAGTTTGTTTTTTTTTCCTTGGGAAGTTTATTCTGGGGGATTGGAGGTGTTGGGTATGGATACGATCAAAAAAAGCACAAACTGGCTTTCAAACCTAAGCGCCCTTGAAATTCCCTGTGGATGGGGGTGGGAAGGGAAGGAAAGGGATGCTTGGCCCAGATTTCCTGTTATCTGTCACCCTGTCTAATTCTTCTGGTGATTCAATGTGTTTCAGGTGAGCCTGAATGACTCCCATAATCAGATGGTGGTACACTGGGCTGGAGAAAAAAGCAACGTGATTGTGGCATTAGCCAGAGATAGCCTGGCACTGCTGGGGCCTAAGAGCAGTGATGTAAGTATGCTGTCCTTATTTGGAAGGAGGGAGGGGGAGCTCTGGGATTTTGGTGGTGTGTGGGCACATTCATGCCTCCTTTTATTCTGCCTGTGGGAGGTGGCGTCTGCTCTTGGCTCACCTGGAGAAATTGGAGGTAAGTGGAGAGTAGACCAGGAATATCACACAATGACAAGGCAGGGTGGGTAGAAATATTATCTCTTTTGCTTGCCTGATATGTAGCTCAGTGCTGAAAACATATCCTCATGATAACATGGTTGCTTTATTTCTCAAAGTGACATGGTATTGTCCTGGTGGCTGTATCCACTCGACATGGTGCCAGAAATATATATTTCTGGGCAGAAGCCACCTTGTCCCTTGGAACAAAGCCCAGATGAAATCTCAGTGGTTTTCTCATTCGTTGAATTCTTACCTGTTACATTTAAGTAGATTTCTTTCCTTGGCTTTTCCTCTTTAAAATGTTCAGGGGCTGGATGCTACCCCCATTTCAGGAACTCTGCCGAAAATAAGGGAAATTTCTTTGGATTATACATCTGACACATTGACATCCTGATACTGTGTGCAGAGTCCCTTAATGCTGTAGTTGCTATGTTACCTGGAACACGAGAGGATGCTTCATTTCAGCTGTATGCAAGGATCCTTCATTTTAATACAATTTTACTTTCTGTTTGTGTGTGGTACTCATTATGTGTATTATGTATGTTGTGTATATATATATATATATATATATATATAATATATAAAATTTTTAGTTTTATTTTTCTGTTATATACGGACCAGTGATTTCATTGGTATAGGTAGCTTCTATTGAGGAAACCTCCCTTTTTCAATATAGATTAGGGACTGGTCTGCAGTTTATATTTTAGAGAGTCGTCTAGGGACATTGAGGGGTTAAATGATTTGTGACACATAGACAGTATGTGTGTGATAGATCGGACTTGAACCCAGTTCTGTTTCTAAGACCAGATTCTTTAGTCGTTAAGCTATATCCTGTCTTTCATAACACATTATATAATAATGTACATATATTATTTTAATTAGATTCAGGAAGAAGATGGATAGTAGAAAATTAATCTAAAAAACGTTGAAATTTCTATGTAGACAATTTGAGGGACCTTGGCTTTGAGTCCCTGTTTTCCCTTCCCTGGCTAATTCATCTGGTGATCTGAGCTCTAGAGGGTTAGTTGGAATTATAATTATATTGGATAAATCACAAGAGAACAGGGAAGAGTTGGCAGAGATATTGTCTCCCTTGTTTTTCACATATGTATTCTCATTGACTCTTACAATGTCCTTATGAGGTAGGCAGAAGAGGTATTACTAACTCTGTTTTTCAGATGGAGCATCTGTGAGGCCCATAGAGGTTAAGGTACTTAGCCAGGACCACTCCCTCAAACAGTTGCTGTTTGGGGCTCTAAAATGGGGGCATCCATAAGGATGCAGGATACAAAGTATTCTAGTAAGAGAATCCTGGAGCATAGCTTTACTCAGTGTGATGGTGGGACCTTTGATCACTGGAAAATCACAAGCTAGCTTGGTGTATAGGAGCAGGGGTGGGATAAGAAGGTGATTTTTTTGATGAAAAGTTTTGTATTGATCATGAACTTGGAAGGGTTGCATATAGCTCCTGGATCCATGTACTAGATACAATTTTTAATTTTTTAAAATTAAAAATTATTTTCTTTCCTCCCCATCTTCTCTTCCCCTTTGGAAAAAAAAGAAAAAATAAGTCCCTTATAACAAATATAGTTTGTGTACTCAAACAAAATAAATTCCTATATTTATCTATAATTCATTCCAAGTATGAGAGGCCTGCTGGTTATGCATGAGTCTTTTTCTGTAGTATTTATTCAGCTACTGCTACGTAGAACCATAGAAAATTAGAACTGAAAGGTACTGTACAGATTATCTAATATTTCTCTCCCCCCCAAAAAAAAATTTTACAGATGAGCTTACTGAGGGGGAAAGGTTTTCTAAGTCCACTTAGCATGTCTGTGATGGAGTTAAACCTAAGAACAACAATATTTATTATTCATTAATACCAACTAACAGTCTTTATCCTAAAAGCGTTTGTCTTAAACGAATGTCTACAAATAAGTAGATAGAGGATAATTTGAGGAGAGAGAGAATGCTACTAATGGGTTTGGAGTGGGGGTGGAGGATATGTCATGAAAGACTTGTAGTAGGTTGTACCCAAGGAGGCAAAGGTGAGGAAGGAAGGAATTCCAAGTATTGGAGAACAGATTGAGGAGAAGTAATTTTTAATTCATTGGATTCCTTGAAAACCATGATTTAAAAAAGTGTGGACACTATATTTCAAGAAAGCACAAGTGAATAATATCCAGATATAGTAGAACTGTAGGGTAGAGTGAAAATAGAAAGACTTCCCTCAGTCACCTACTGAAAAGAAAACCCCAAAGTCATAGGAACACCGAAGTCAAACTACAGAGATTCCACATCAGATTACAGGCAGTCAGGAAGACAAAAATTCAGGCATCAGGAGCCACAGTCAAAACCCCATGAGCAAGACCTGGCAGCGTCTCCTGTGAAAGAGAGAAAATCTTTGTTGATAGTGTTACAAAAGGCAGAAGAAATAGGTTTACAGCCAAGAGTATCTCACCTTGCAAAGCGTGGTCTGTTCCTACATTGGAAGAAAAATAGATCTTTAATAATACAATGGAGGACTTCAAAGCCTTCTTGATGAAAAGACCAGAGCTGAGCAGAAATGTTGAGATTCAAGTACAAAATAAGAATCAAGAGAAGCCTAGAAAGATACATTTCTTTGAGCACTTCTAATTTTCCAGTAGGGAAGAAGAAACGAGTCCCTTTAGAACCTTAACATTTTCAGAGGGTATTTTTGTTATTCATTCATATCAGTTGTGTCTGAGTCTTCATGACCCCTTTTGAGGTTTTCTTGGCAAAGACGCTGGAGTGGTTTGCCACTTCCTTCTCCAGCTCATTTTATAGATGAGGAAACCGAGGCATACAAGTTAAGTGACTTGCACAGGGTCACACAGCTGGAAAGTGTCTGAGGCCATATTTGGACTCAGGTTTTCCTGACTCTAGGCCAGGTGCTCTATCCACTGTGCCATGTTCAGAGGGTATTAAAAGAGTTAAATTAGAAAAAACAGAGGACCTGGAGTGGGTTAGTTCTGTTCTGAGGGTTTGAAGAGAAGGAAAAAAAAGGAAGGTAAAAGGGATTCATTTGTGTAGAAAGAAGGAAGAAGGGGTGGAACTTGTTATTTCTCTTAATTGGGGGTGTCAGAAGAATATACAAACATGGAAAATTATATGAGGGGCGCAGGCATCAGAAGAACTTCAGTCTTATCTGAACCACATCAAGGAAAGTTGAACACACACACAGACACACAGACACAGACACAGACACAGACACAGACACACAGAGTTTGATGTAGAAATACAAGAAGAAGTGCAGATTAGCAGGACAGTTTGAAATTAAAGTGTTGATAGACCAGCCAAGGTGCTGGAGTAGGAAGAAGCAGTACAGCCAAACTCTTCCCCCTCATATCCTCCCTGCTCCCTACCTACCCATCTAATAAAAACACCTGTAGACCAAGTAGTGATCAGGAAGTCTAAGAGAAAAGCAAAATAGGGCATCGTTTCCTCCTAAGATCACAAGGTCAACCCACGGGCATGTGACTAGGGCAGAAATTGTGAAGCAGGAGTAACTGGGATCCTGGACTCGCCCCAAGCCTAAGCTAGCATTACAGGATCTCCCAAAAAGGCAGGGATCATGGATTCAGACCAAGAGACTTCATACAGGCAGCAAGCAGTTCAGCACTCCACAGAGTGGATTGAGGACTGAGCTCCAAGCTGAAAGCGGAACAAGACTAATAGTATTGGTCACCCCAAGTGGATTCCAGGCTCAGCCCTGGTCAGAGTACAGAAGTAGGCCAGCTGTGAACAGAGCCGATGGCATAAACCTGTAACATGGGGTCTCATGAAGGGCTCAAAAGGTCTGGGCAAGTAGCATGATGCAGGATAGCCCAGAGCAGATCAGAGACTTATTCTTGGGCCCATTGCAATTACTCTGAACTTGATCACTGCTTATCTATTCAGCTAACTGACAAGCTGGGACCAATTACTGTCTACTGGAGCACCACCTGAGGCAAGCCTGCATCTGTGTTGACTAGACATAACCTTGTGTGTGGAACCTGAAAAGCCCAAAAGGAAAGGATCTTGCTGTGCTCTTGCTTTGATCAGATAGTGCCTGCTGAAAGTATGCAACTCCCTGGCTCAAGCTGCCCCTATTATCTTTAAAGAACACGTTACTCAATAACTGAAGAACATAGTAGCATGGCCCCAGATAAGACAGTAGTAGTCCCACCAGAAGAGTGTAGAACCCAACACAGAGCCCTAACCTGGGAAGCAAGGCTGAGTAAACAATCAAACAAAAATATAAAGAGCCATTATGATTCTAGTGATGCCCAAGACTAGCCTAGAAGAGAAGAATAATTACAAAATGCTTATAAGCAAATTCCCCCCCCCAAAAAAAAACCTTGTCTGCATAATCAAGTAGAATTCTTAGGAAATGAAGCAAGAGTTAAAAATATTTTGTAAGTGAGATGAAAGTGATAGATGAAAGAATTGGGAAAGAAATAAGAGCTGTGGAGGAGAGATTTGAAAGAGAATTAGCCACTTAACACAAGAAATATGAAACCTTACCCAAGTAATATATTCTTTGAAAATTTGAATGGATCAGATAGAAATTAATGACTCCATATAATGAGAAATTTTAAAACAGAAGATTGAAAAAGTATATCTCATATAAAAAATAACTGATAAAAAATATCAGTGAAGATAATTTAAAAACCATTTGACTACCTGAGAGCCATGACCAAAAAAAGAATCTGGGTAATGTATTTCAAGAAATCTTGAAAGAAAACTGCCCAGACATAATTATAAGAAGAAGGCAAAAAATGCAAACAGGAAAAAAGTCCATCAATTACCTCCTGAAAGAAACTCTCAAAGGAAAACTC